TCTAATTATTTTGTGTTAACCTTCTGCACCGGAGGTAGGAAACCAGTAATCTACAACTACTAATAGGGACAAATCCTGAATTAGATTGTTGCACGTGCATGGGCCTTGCATGTCTCGAGGGTACGCGGCCCATGGATGGTACCGGGCCGCCCATGACCTTGTAAACCGAGTTCAGATCTCCCCATGGTCGATACTATCTTGATCATCAAAGTCAGGGAGGAGGGATCCAAGACACGTGATTGAATCAATAAAATCATGTAATTTAAAAAATAAAGTGAAATACTCTAGCACAAGACACAGTGATTTAAACAATATAATAATCCCTTCTTAAAAAAACTGAATACATCTAGGATAAGAGGTAAGATCTTTTTTCCAGATAAATTTATTAATATATATTTTTAGTATAATAAAATGATTTGATTGTCTTTAAAAACAAAAAAAAATATATACATTTTATCTAGAATATTTTTTTTTCAATATTATCTGCATAATAAAAATACCTCCATACCTTAAACGCAAAAAACAAAATAAACTAAGTGCTCCAGTGCTTTTTAGACTTTTTATACAAATTTGATATAAATCCTCTTCTCAGTTGCTGTAGATCCCGGTGAAATGATTAATATTATGATTGTGTTTGAGAATGTTACATAAATTAATTTTAAAAAAAAATTTGTTTGAAAATATATTAAAATAATATATTTTTAAAATTATTTTTATAGTTACACTTCCAACAATCGTAAAATATAAAAAAACAATTGAAAATAAAAAATATATAATTTTTTAAAGATTTTCTTTTAAAACACAAAAACAGATTGCTTCCTCCGGTCACACGCCTCTATAGATAATTTAGGATTCGAAGGGGTATCGCGCATCACAATCCCCGTCGAAGGACAGACAATCCCGTTCAGCCGAACTTGTTGACTGCCATATGTTGCTGGGAAGGAGGAATGGAAGGTCAGCCAAGCTGCACGCATGCAGCTCCTCGAAGAACGTACAGACTGTCATGTTGGAAGTGCCGCCTGGCCATGGACATTGGACATCAAGAATACGCGTGTCTCCATGGAAAAAGCCCCCTCCCCTCTCCTTTCTCCCTAGAGAAAAAGACAACCAATCAGTAATCAGATCCAGCCTGATCCCAACATGTTTTTCTCGTCTACACTTGAAATTGTTTATTACCGAGGACTACAGTTGCATATAGAAGAATTATGCATGACCTCGTCAATAACAATATCACAAACCACAATCTATATAACAAATGATACAATGCATGACCTCGTCAATACCAATGCATATCAGGGCTTGGCCTAGCGATGGAAGGTACTTGTCTCTTTCCACTACACCTGGGTTCAAGTCTTGACGTGCATGTCTGTCACACCCGCGGTGCTTTACATGCCTACTGAATTTGTAGGGTATTCAGTGGACTGTGGGAATTAATCATGGTACACGCAAGCTGGCCCGGACACCCTATGTAAATCCAAAAAAAAATGATACAAGATCATGAAACGTCCCGGAATTAATATTCCATGTCTAGATGAAAGTCCATCGCTGCAACAATAAATTAGAGGAATAGAGGTGAGGAGAGGTGGTTTTACTAGAGTTTTGAGATTTGCACGGCAAGGGAGGCGGCGGGGCCGGTGAGTATTATTTATACCGTGCTCATACTTTAATTTAAAGATTCACATTTTGACACGGCCATGTGACGAGGTGATAAATCCTTGGTATACATTGAAACGTAATGTTCTTGTAGAGAATGTACGTGAGTTTCACGTGACTCCATGTGGTCTTTCTCCATGAATGAGTGTGACCAGTCTCGTGAATGCGTGCAAGACTTTACACTGTCCTTTGGGGATAACTTAGACGCGAGCATCCAATGAAAAGGTCCTTTATTCTCTGGACCCCACTCTTAAAGACTGGTTCAATGGCACCGCGTGCAGGCCCCTGGCTCGTTGATCCTGTTGAATTAAATCAGATGGCTGGAAAACGAGGGATTGGATGGATATGGAGTCCACTTCAACCTTCTTTTTTTTAAAAATAATTTAAATATAATATTATAAAAAAATCCAAAAATCTAAAAATAATTATTTTAATATATTTTTAATTAAAAAATACCCTTAAAATAATCCTTACATCACATTAACAAACATAGTTGTACAATTTGCTCCTTTTAAAAAATAAGGTGCTTCAATTAAAATTAATTAATTAATTAATTTTTTTTGGTTAAAATCTAGGCTAAAATACCCAATTAAATTAAATATGACAAAGTTGATCCAATCAGATCATAATATAAAATACAGTAAAGACTTGCAAGAGGGTCATTAAAGAAAATAAAAAATTTATCAGAAAAACTCATGGTTAAACTGTAATTGGCTAGCTAATCTACCACTGAATTTGCTTCTCTGTAGACATGAAGCACCTAAATATCCCATTCTTTTGCTAATAATTCTCTAGCCTGCATGATTAGATTATAATTTTTGTCATCTTATTTTTAGTGATTAAAACAACCGCTAATGACGAATTAGATTCCAAAATAATTTTCCAGAATCCTTTATACTAAGCTAATTTCAAACCATTGGTAATTGCCTATAGTTGAGCACCCATTGATGTGCAAATCTCCTTGTTAAGAGTGAAACCAACAATCCATCTACCCATGGCATTCGTAATAACTCCACTAGCTCCAACCACCCTTAGGTTTTTCTTGCCACAACTATCTACGTTAATCTTCATCCAATCAATTGGAGGATATCTTTGCCCTATGCAAACCCTCTATTTGATATTATCTTTGAATTTAGATTCACCAACCATATAATGAATGACACCATCGATAAATCTCTTGATTATTTGAACAGTGCTGGTGTAAGAGGATACAGAAAAACTAAAAATTCGATCATTTCTCTCCTTTCATATTTGCCACAACGCAGTGACAAATTCAAGACCCATAACTTTCTCTTAGAGCTTGGATGGTTACCTCGAAGGTTATTCGGTTGCTAAGTATACTAGTCAAGGGAGTAAAAAGCCTCTCGATCTGCAACTTCATTAATTCTATCCCAAACCCCATGTGCATTTGAGCAGTCACAGAGAGCATAGATGATTGTTTGTAACTCTGTCAAACAATGACTACAGTAGGGGTTAGAAGTGATTTTCCTTCTCTATCTAACTTTATTTGTCATGATGACCTCATGAGTTACTGTCCAAGGGAATATCTTCACTCTTTTTAGACCTTTTTCATTGCCAGATGCTCTTTCAATTAATTTATTTATGTCATGTGTTTTAGTATTAGTCAGTTATATTTCTATAAGATTTGATAAAAATTAGCATATGCTAAAACATCTACTTCTTTTATTGTAGCACAATTACTATTCATCATCTTATAGATCATTATGGACTGGAACGGTATTAAAAAAAAGTAAACTTGATTCTCAAATTTTTATTTTGTATAGTTTAACTATTTGAGCCCAAATCAGCACTTAATTGTATTTTTTTTTAATATAGGAGAGGTTGAATTGAATAAAAAGAGGATTGAATTGAAAAAATAAGTGAAATAGATAACAACTTTGAAATTTATTTTAAAGTTTATTTTCATCACCCATATTTTTTGGATCTTCAATAATTAGTCCCTTTAAATTTCAAAAATTCAATTATATACCAAACTTCATTTATTTTACTGTTTTTTCAGGTGATAGAAGAGAGAAGGACTCAATGAATTTCAGCGTATAAAGAGAAAGTTATTGTTGACACCTATTCCAGCCACAAAATGATCGAGTTTTATGTTAAATGGTTTCATATGATAAGAGGAGTTCAAACTAAGTGTTTTTTTTTTTTTTTTACATTGAAAGTGCCTAAAAATTATATATGAGTTCATAAAGATTTTTGGTTTCAGGCTTTAAGATATTTCTTCTTCTTTTTTAAGTTATGGATTGATCCAGCAAGGTTTTTATAGTATTGTTTTAGATATTTTAGGTAAACAAATATGTTGAAAATGGATTTCTGGGCAAAAAACATGAACCTTGTTTTTTCATCCGCCATAAAAATCGAAATATGAGAATCCAAATGACACGTCATTTATTTCTTTCAAGAAAAATTAGGATAAATGACATGTCGTTGGCTCATTAACTTAATTTTTTTTTAGTGCTTGGGATTGACCTCTGAGCCATTTCTTGATGGGCTTTATTTTTAATAGTTTTGTGGTTTTTATTATTATTTTTTATCAATAAATTAGTTGATCTTGAATTTAATTAATTTAAATTTTTTTTGAGTGCTTGGAATTGACCCATGAGCCATTTCTTAATAGGCCTTATCTTTGATAGTTTGTGATTTTTATTATTATTTTTTATCAATTAATTAATTGATCTTGAATTTAATTAATGTTCCGATTGTGAAATATAATATTAATTAAAATTGAAATCACAGCATTTCTTTTCTTGTTATAATTGTTTGATTTTTAATTAAACACTGGGATTCTAAATTTTAATATCTAAAAGTATGTTATTTCACCAATTTTTTTTCCTGCTATATAAATTCACTATTTTTTTATATGCTAAATACAATTTATCCCTGTTTTTTTTTTTGTTTGCTAAATGCATATTTTACCCCTGTTCCAACTAGTCTTGCTTCACATCCCAAATAGCCCTACATCACTTCATTGAAATTAGCGATAATAATTGCAGCGTAATATATCAAATCTCTGCAGGGTCATATAAATTAACACTATTTTTTATATGTAGAGCTTTTTTTTTATATTTTTGTTGTTGTTGTTTCCATGGAATAGATAATCAAAACGTCAGATACAGAACCACGATAATACACTAAATACAGAAACAAAGTAGTCTTTTCCATGCGTCCACGATTTCTTTTTCTTCCCCACCAAACGTTTTGTTCGACATTTGCCGAATACATCCAAAACTTAATGGCTGCAATCCACATGGAACGTCTCTCAGCTCAAAGCTATCATAGACATCGAACTCATGAGACATGACCAGGGAATAAAAAAAACAAAGAGTGTATAATTGAAGCTTGGATAGAATCACCTGCAATATTTTAGAGGATTAAAATTACATCCACATGGCCTCATGCCTAAACAAATTCCTATACCAGGATTTCTGTTTCCCAACAATTCATATTTCTCTAATATATGCTTCTTCTTTTTATTTTTTTCTATCTTTTTATCCAGTACAGACTGGCTTACTTTGTACTGGTCTGATCACTGATCGTACAAGCAAAAACTAGAAGCTGCATCACAAATATGTAGGATGAGCCGGGCTAAGAAGAAAGATGGCGACAATCAATTCTTAGATTTTAGAAATGAAGCCGTCTTGGTTATTTCCCTGAGAGGTTTATCATTGAACCGAATTATATTGTAGCAGAGCGCTCCAAGGATGGTACCAATAGGGGGCCCAACAATGTAAACCCAGATACCCTTAAATTGACGCATCACTATTGCAGGCCCCAAGCTCCTAGCAGGATTCATGGATGCCCCAGAAACAGGCCTGTAATCCACAATTATAAGGGCAAAAAAAAAAAACAGAGAGTCACGTGAAGAATTGCTATTCAAAAAGACACTGGCAGCTTGGATTGCAGCTGGCAAGGGAATTACCCAGCAACGAAAACGTTCAACATAATTGTCATTCCAACTGCAATTCCTGCTAATTCTCCAATCTGCAAGAGTCGAGAATCGAAGAATTAAAATTATATTCGTTTGCTAGATGTAAAGTTTATATATACATATTTTGAGCATACTCTGTTAGATACTAGTAACCAATCTTTCGAATGCAAGGCAAGGCATTCTTGTGGTGCTTGTGATTTAAGCAATCAACCAAGAGGGATGGTTTGCTTGTAAGCTAGCCTAAACAATCCCAGGCTACTGTAATAAAAATAAACAAAAGACATGTTTTTTTTTTCAATAACAAAAATATAAAATAAAATGAGCATGTTTAAAAATAACTAACCGCTCTGTTATCAGTGGCAACACCAGAGATAACAAACATTAAAAGGAACGATATAATTATTTCAGTAACAAAAGAACGAATGTCGGATCCAACTGGCATTGTCCCAAAATAAGCCTCGCTTGTCACGCTAAAAAGAAGACTTAAGGTGCCACTAGCAATGAGCGATCCAAGTAATTGTGCCATAATGTATAGAGGTACCTAGAAGTACAAGAAAGAAAAAAACACATTTAACAAGAAGTTCATCAATTATTATAATCAACACCTCTCCTGATGAGATATGCTCTACCAATAGGAACAATATGTATAAAAAAGCAATGAATATATATATGAAGACCAACCTGTTTGTAAGGAAAATGTCTAAAAATGGCAAAAGTAACGGTGACTGCTGGATTGAAATGTGCACCAGAGATATGACCAACAGAGTAAACCATCACCATCACAATTAGACCCCATACCACACAAACTCCTGGAAATGTTACAGAACCATATATCTGATTGACCACGACCGATCCACAACCCATAAAAATCAAGAAAAATGTTCCAATCACCTCTGCTATTATCTGGCAATAGAAAGAGACTTATTAGTAACATAATTTTTAATTTTTTTTTATATAACTAGATGGTAACTGTAAGTTTATATAATGAAAAAAAAAGATATGAATTTTTTAGTACCTTTTGGATTATTTGAATAGTAGTTTCAGATGATGAATCCGTATCAGAATTTTCTGGTTTTTTACCAACTTCTGTATCTTCACTTAACTCGTTATTCCAAGGCATGCTGTGAAGAAGAAAATGATGCTTATTTCTCTCCCAAGTCAAGAAATTTGGCGTTGGATAAACCAAGAAAATAAATTTATATATAGTAAAAGATTAATGTCATTGCTTGGAGATTGATGGCTTAGCTATTTTGACGAGTTTCTCATGGAACCAAGAGAATTGTGTACTCTTTAGGCCAGTCATTTAGGCCTCTTAACAGGAATAGTTACCGCAATTTTGTCTTGGCCACTATGAGTCAAGTCCCTGAGTGAAATTAGGGATTCCATTTCGTCATCTGGTTATGAAACCATTGCCTATTAATTAGGCTTGACCCAATTATATTAAGATATGCTTGTATGATTAGACTCGCAACCCTAGACTGTAAGTTTTATTGGGCATGGATGGTAACCTTCTGCCACAAGAGGGAAGAGCTTCCAGCTGGCTGCTAGTGATGACGTCTAGGACCAAAAATACCAACAGAGAAAATGGGCTCTCATACGGGTTGAGGGCCCAATCATAACCATCCGTCCAGAAATTGTCTCAGTAGAAGCCTTGTACTGTTAACCTTTGCTCAAGATAGATGCTAAGTAGTTTTACTTTTTCTAGACCTAGGCAGCAGCAGTACCTACCTAGGAATTCATGGGCTATAATACCGAGTGGGAGGCTCGACCAATGACAGGGGCTTTCCACTTTTCATTGGATCACTTGTTTTCTTATTCTTATGTGATGGGAAAAATGAAAAATGCTTATGCTGTATCTGTAGACTGTAATGATGACTGACGAGTGGGGACCAAAAGAAAACTCCAGAGAGCTGTGTTCAGTGCTTTTGCTGAGGCAGTAGAAAGAAAGAAGGTTACGGCTAATATACTATGGACCCTCGATTCAAATCAAACATAATGGTGTCAGGTCCTCTTCTTTATAGCAGCCACTTATCCTAGGCCCTACAGATTAGCCCAGCCACTCACTCTCATGCCTCCTCTTCCTACGTCTCGAGCTTCCATCCTTTTTTACTTGGTGCTAAGAGTGAAATTGGTTTATAGATGCTGTGTTGTCATGAAATGATTTGTAAAACGAACCATTCTTTCCCTCAGTCCCTCTCAGAAGGTCTCAATTCACCGCTCGATGGTCCCGGCCATTGTAGGTCCATTTCCCCGGCTCGTGTCTGCAGTTAACCCCGCAACGATCGCGACCTTTCTCCCCTCCAATCTCAATGTCTTGATTAGTTTTTGTTTGCATGTGTTTATTCTTATTTCAACCACGGCTTGTGTATTTTTGGTCCAATCCCCGCTGGCACCAGATTTAATTACTCAACGACAAAAATAGATAGGAAAAAAAGAAAAAGGAAGGGTGGGAGATTGCTGATTGTCGGTCCAATCCCCACTGGCACCAGATTTTCAAACTGGTTACTCGACAAACATTTCGTGCAAACTATTGAGTTACAGATTTTTATCAGTGTGCATCCAATGCCGTGTACCTCGTCCAATTAACCGAGTTGAATTCTTCGCGCTATTTCTTTTTTAAAATGAAGCATGATAGTGACAGGGTTGGTCGATTTTAAAATATTTCCTGGGACGCCTGCCTGCGTAAATAAACAATGAAACCAATATTCGAAGAATTCCATGGTTTTTTTTTTTTGGAAAAAAATTTGCAGAGTTTCATATATAGGCAATCGTGATGATATTTTGTCACCGATTAATCAACACAAGATTTTTTTTTTTTTGGGGGGGTTTGATTGTACATAATTTTTTATCGAGGTACCAAATTAATTAGAAGCATGGGCCCCGTGTACAAAGGAGAATGAGGCCACGCACACGAGGACAGCACCGCTTATGTAGTTCCTGTTTGGCCTAGTCATATCATTTTGACATTTTCATTACCATACCCCAGAATAATCCATCGTTATCATGTTTTGTGTTAAGGTGTACATTGTGGCAACTTTCTTGCATTCACGTGCGCACGTGCCACCATGTTATTAATTATTAATTAACATACATCTCAAGACGATCACACTTAAAATATTTGATTGAAAGCCAAATTGCATGCTACTTCTCTTTGGTTTTGCAATTTAATAGATCTAAACTAGGTCATGCGCATTACAATGACACCTTCTTTATACGCTTGTAATGTTCACGTGCATGTATGCGAATATCTGGCTGATCCTGCGTATACCTCTAGCACTATTCTACCATTTGGATACCATTCAAATGGCAAATTACATAAATCTTGGTATTGCTTGTGGTAAATTGACAGATAAAATATAAGTTTACTATTATATTGTGCCTGATTCATTCGCTAGGGTTTGATTCAAATTTCTTGAAACATTAAAAAATAATTATCTTAAATGAAATGTATTGATCATGTTATTAAACCTGATATATTAGTTTAAGTTTGAAAATTTTTTAGTTAAGTTTTTACTTAATGTGAATTTTAATTTTAATTATGTAATTTTTTTTTTAATATAACTTGCTAATTGTATATATCCAAATAAACAATTCAAAGAAAAAAATGAGTGCTCATCTTTATCAAATCATCAAATTCATGATTCGAATTATAAATTTTATTAAATTTAATTAATTTTTATTTTATTATATAATAAAAATACTACAATTGATTTGCTATAACTAACAATAAAGAATAAAATTAAATAAAAATCTAGTATTAATTAATAAAATTTAAAAAAATAACAAAAAAGCCATATAAATCTAAACAACCATTGCTCTTTGATAAAACATTAATCATATATCAATTATACCGTTTTAAAGACTTGATTAAAAACAAGAAAAAGATAAATACCATATGATAAGATTTTATCCTATTTATAATTTTTTTAAAAATATTTCATTTCAAAAGAAAGGCGAAAGTGCAAGACAATTGAGATTTTTTCTCAGAGATCGGAAGCAGTTACTAATTCATGATTTTGTTTATGTTCTTTCAAGCAAATAGTGTGCCCTACAAGAATGTAACCCGTGATCTTAGATTCCTTCAACCAAGTTAGAACACGAAGTTATTATAAAATAATTAAAGTAATATATTAAACATATTCATTGTTTAAAAGCAAAAATGAACATTGGACTGATGGCTAAACCAAATTGAAAATGGCTAACTTCCCGGGCTGCTAGCTTAACTAAGGAAGGCATAACATTGACACTGGGCTGCCGGTTAAGTTTCCACATGAACAGTGAACTCCATTAATTTTTTTTATTAGTTAATATATGTAATTATTTACGGAAGCCGATCAGAAAGTAATATCCATTATTGACTGTCTGAAATAAAACTCAAATGTAATAACTATGTATTTACGTGCGTTTAATTAATTTGTCTTCTTTTAGGTTCTTAATGACGGCTTCAAGTTACATGTAAGCTGATGATTGCGTTTGTAGAGTTGCTGAGAGATCGAAAATGGAGGAAAAAACAACACAGAAACGAAAAACTATCATCTCCTCCCCTTTGTTTCCTGCTCAGTCACTAAATAGTGGGTTTTAATTAATTTTTTACCTATATGTTGATTTGAATCGCACAATTTTTGTCAACCATGAAAAATATTAAAAATTAAAATTAATTAAAGATATAACATCCCTTTATGGAAATTGTTTCAGGCAAGTGAATAATCGGTTAGTCAACACCTTATCCAACAACATGGGACTGCCAGTTAAGGAGCCTCCTCCTAGCTAGCTAACTAGATATATATATTGCAAAAATTAAGTTTTCCCAGTAAAATCAAGAGTAGTGGTCATGTATTTCAGCAACCATATATACTCAAATTTAAAGAACAATCGGAAGCGATGGCGGGGACATATTTTCCACTCTTCCAATATATATATATATATATATCATCCACACAAATTCTTGCTAGGCGAAGACTTTGAATAAACCGGGTCCATGTCCTTGTTAGTCATACTTCATTCTGACGAGTCCCTATCTTAGTTGGATCTTATCTTCTCCAACCTTTCCTTTTCTCTTACCCCCTAACCTGCAATAATACACCACCTTGGAGGCATGTTTATATTTGGCTTCAATGACTATTTCTTAACACCAAAGCCACATGACTAGGGTATGGCATCCACATGAGAATGGACCCGCACGCACACGCTGTTTTGGCCACGTGTGCATGACCTGTGTGATGATCATGCATGCCTCGCTGTCATTGTCATGGTGGTGCCACGCAAGATCAATTCAATCCAACGGGCGTGAGTTCTAAGTTTATATTTGACCATTGTCGAATACTGTGATATGCTGGATAAAGATCGGATGGTCACTGACGCTTCTGTTTGATGCCTCCCTCTGGAGATGGAAATTGTTGCCTCTGGGACGAAGAGGAAGCGACTATCATGGTTAGGTGTTTGATTCAAAAACAAAATAAATAAATAAAAAAGAAGATACCATCAAGTTTAATTACCTGGAAATATTAATGAAAGCGGTCAGTAAAGAGAGGGACAGTATTATCTCATGGGCACGTCACATAAAAAAGAAGAGTCCAAAACTGGCAAGTCAAGACATTATGATCTGCTCAAGAATGTTCATGATAACTTGATCGAATTTCGGGAATTGGAAGAAAACAAGTAGATGGAGACGTTCCTTTTTTAATAAGGAAGGGCAGCAGAAAAGAACCCTTTTCTTTAAATTTTATACTGAAAAGATTATCATGATGAACAACTCGTCTGGCAAAGAAATGACTTGAAACCTAACTAGTTCTTCCATGTCGTAATATTATTGCTAGCATGCACATTGTATTGGGATCGATCATGCTCTTGAATATTCCAATTGTAGTAGATGCTGAATTGACTTTAATTTGTTTGTTTGAGCATGTTTCTTTGCTTAAATTGGATGGGAATCACGAATTCAATTCGGTTGTCATTTTTTATTTATTTATTATTAATTATGAAGTTCGGTTGTCATATTGCTCTGGTCATGATTTGTAACTAGTACATTGCTTTAGCATGTTATGTCTCTTTTACTGTTTCTTGAAACTTAAAGGTATTGAAGTCTATCAAGAGAAAGTCCCAGTCTCCTGAGAAGTGAGACCAGTGGAGAGGCGGCTAAAAGAAAAGGAGATGTGAGCTGCAATTAGGCAGAGGCAAAAGCCGGAAATCGCGAGGGATATTGGTGCCCGGTGGTCCATGAAAGTTGCCTCACAAGATGGGACTGGAGCAGGCATGACCACGTCCCTAGTTTGGGGCTCGAATCTCTTCTACTCGATGATACCGTGGGCTTATTGAGCTGTAGACCTTTTGCGATGAGAATTGGGCCCAAGTTCAATCAAAGAAAGGCGGTTTATAAGTATTGCTTGTAAAATTCAAAATATCTTAATAACAATGTTGGTGTAGCTCAACTTATTTTTTTTTAAAGTAATCAGTTTCAATCTTATAAATT